ACTCTCGTCTTTGTCATCAACTGCGAGGCTGTTACTATTTACACGTATTCTTCGGCTTTAACTTTCTGCAGTTCTCTACAGTTAAGCCTCTCCTCGCCCTGAATAAAGAACCTTAGGCTGTTCGTTTGTAGATTTTAAGAGCAAACCCAGTATCGCGGATCGACTCTCCTGACCCGCGTCTCCAGGGACCCTGCATCCTGCGCGGCGCCCGGGTGGGTGTGCAGGGTTTGGGGCGACTCGCCCTCAGCGGCGAGGGGTTCGGACAGTCTGCGTTTTTAAAAAGTGCGCCTTCAGACGGGCTTCTGGGACAGTAAAGCGAAGGTTTGTAGCGAGTTGAGCGGTCAGTCCTTGTGAATGGAACATCTTTTTCGTAAGCTTGGTGCGCGATGTGCTGAGTAAGTTAATTGTGGTTGGCTTCTTTTTCACTTTGTTCCTATGGGTTACTGTTACACGGCGTGTGGCTAGTTTGTTTATAGTTTAATTTCCCCTGTATCAAAAATAGAAAGGGCTGAATGTGAGCTGTCATTCACTAACAGAGGCTATATTATCAACAGTTCCATTATTTTGTTACTGTTCATGTGCGAGTTTCCATGAACTGGCATGAATCAGCTTCCTTGTAAATCCCATAGACAGTGTCTTTAAATGCTGATGAAAATCTTAATACACCCTTTTGAAGAAGGAAATAAAATGTTCTTGAGTGAAAATCCTAAGGGATTATCTTTTTTCTCTCCCTATGTCTTTAACTAGGAGTTACTGTACTCAGACTTTGACAGGCATTTAAACACACACAGCAACCATACTTTAATGAATTCTGTCATAATTACTTCACTTTGAAAGTGTATTGTATATAGTACACTTTGACTCTTCCCCACATCCCAATCTCTGAGTAGAATTTTCGGTAAAAATATCACACAGAATCAGCCTTTCTGTTCTGTAAAAAAGAACAATACTGTCTGTAGTGTTTTGTGGTATTTTATTTTGAAGAAGTTTCCATAATATCAAGATTAGTCTGAGGGACAGTCCAGGATAGGTTCCAGTTTACAAAGTGACTTCTTTATCACTTTGGATAAGCTGACTATGAAGACAGTAAAACCAACCCTATCCCTTTCAAAGGGACAAAAAAAAAAAAAATTATGAAGTGCTTTGAAAAGTAAAATGTGCTATGTAAATATAAAGGTCCTCCATAAAAAGCTAATGCAAGTGATGTTGCTGATTGGGATTTGGACTTAAATTGAGATTCTGAGTTCTTTGCAGACCTCCTTTGTAAGTCCCCTGAAGCTCACACTGCCTCTTAAGAATTTTGTTGGCTGTTTAGGAAGCTGCTATGTCTGCTGGGGCTATAGGGAAAGTAAGGCTGCTGGTTTAGTGTTAGACCCTATGCAAGGGCTTTATTTTCATTTTCTCACTAGAAACACATGAAGGTGTAGATATTCTTATTCCTGTTTTGCAGAAGAGAAAACTGAGGCTCAGACAGGCTGAGTGACTTGTATACGGTCACAAAAGTGTCTCAGTGTAGAACCAGGATTAGAAACAAAACAGGATCTTTGTTCTCTACATCACATTTTTTACCTTTAACTCAATGGTTTAAAAAATTTTTTTTCATATAATCTGATAAAACTGTATCTCCCCAGGAAAATTGCCAATATCCATATATATACAAAATTTTGCACATAATTTCAGAGTCCAGCCTGCTTTCTGAAACCTTTCCAGTGCTTTCAGGACACCCTACTCTGTCTGTTACTGATTGAGGCAAAAAACATATACATACTATATATTGGTATTATAATCTTCTATTAACAGCAGCCCTTTGAACTTGGTAGTTTTCAGTTGGGTAAAAATTCATTCAGTGACTGAAATAAAAAGAAAAATGACTTGCTATGTTCTAATTGATTCTGTAAACACCAAAATGCATTTTTTTATAATTGTAATCACATTCTTTTTATTTTTTAAATTTAAAAAAATTGTTTTATATTATAGTTGACTTAAAATGTTGTGTTAGTTCCAGGTAACAGCGAATTGATTGTGGTACATATACATGTATCTATTGTTGTTTCAGATTCTTTTCTCATATACATTATTACAGAATGTTGAGTGGAGTTCCCTGTGCTATACAGGAGGTCCTTGTTGATTATTTTATTTATAGCAGTGTATAGATGTTGGGGCTTCCCTGGTAGCTCAGTGGTAAAAGAATCTGCCTGCAGTGCAGGGGACTTTGGTTTGACTCCTAAGTTGGGGAGATCCCCTGGAGGAGGAAATGGCAACCTGGTCCAGTGCTGTTGCCTGGGAGAATTCCATGGAAGGAGGAGCCTGGTGGGCTCCAGTCCATAAGGTCTCAAGGAGTAGAACAAAGTGACTAAGCGTCTGCAGCAGGGGCAATATGTATATGTTAATCCCAGTCTCCTAATTTAACTCTTCTCACCTTTCCCCTTTGGTAACCGTAAGTTTGTTTTCTGTGACTGGAAGTCTGTTTCTGCTTTGTAAATAAGTTCATTGTATGACTTTTTTTCCCCTTTAGATTCCACATCTAAATGATATCACATGATATTTGTCTTTCTCTGATGTCATTTAGCATGATCATCTGTGGGTCCATCCATGTTGCTGCAAATGGGATAATTTCTTTTTTATGACTAATATTCCATATATATATTCATGCCACATCTTCTTTACCTGTTAATATGTTGATGGATGTTTAGGTTGCTTCTATGTCTTGGGTATTGTAAACAACACTGCAGTGAACATTGGGGTGCATGTATCCGTTCTAACCATGGTTTTCTCCAGATATATGCCCAGTACTTGGATTGCTGGGTCACATGGTAGCTCTGTTTTTAGTTTTTTAAGGTACCTCCATACTGTTCTCCATAGTGACTGTGCCAAATCACATTCCCTTCAGTAGTGTAAAAGGGTTCTTTTTCTTCACACCCAGCATTTATGTTTGTAGATTTTTTGATGATGGCCATTCTGACTGGTGTGAGGTAACATCTTCATTGTAGTTTTTTTTTTAATTGGAGGATAATTGCTTTGCAGTGTTGTGTTGGTTTCTGCCTTACAACAACAGGAATCAGTCATAAGTATGCATATATCCCCTCCCACCTGAGCCGCCCTCTCAGTCCCCACAATCCCACCCTTCTAGATTGTCACACGGCACTGGGCTGAGTGCTTGTGCTGTCCAGCGGCTTCCCACCAGCTATGCATTCCACACATGATAGTGTATATATTTCACAGTTCATCCCACCCTCTCTTTACCCCACTCTATCCACAAGTCTGTTCTGTATGTCTGCATCTTTATTTCTGCCCTGCAAATAGGCTTATCAGTACCATTTTTCTGAATTTCATATATATGCATTAATATGCAATATTTGTTTTCTCTTTCTGACTTACTTCACTCCATATAACAGGCTCTAGGTTTTGTCTGCCCTCAGTTCAACTGACTCAAATCCGTTCCTTTTTATGGCTGAGTAATATTCCATTGTATATATGTACCACTTCTTTATCCATTCATCTGTCAGTGGACATCTAGATTGCTTCCATGTCTTGGCTGTTATAAATGCAGTGAACTTTGGGGTACATGTGTTTTTTGAATTATGGTTTTTTAAGGGTATGTGCCCATTAGTGGGCTTCCCTGGTGACTCGGTGGTAAAGAATCCTCCCGTCAATGTTGGAGATGCAGGTTCAATCCCCAAGTCAGGAGCATCCCTTGGAGAAGGAAATGGCAACCCACTCCAGTATTTTTGTCTGGAAAATCCCATGGACAGAGAAGCCTTGTGGGCTGCAGTCCTCGGGGTTGCAAAAGAGTCAGGCACAACTTAGTGACTAAAAAACAACATGTTGGGATTGCTGGGTCATATGGTAGTTTTATTCCTACTTTTTTAAGGCACCTCTGTACTGTTCTCCATAGTGGCTGTATCAGTTTACATTCCCATCAACAGTATAGGAGGTTTCACTTTTCTCTACACCCAGCATTTATTGTTTGTAGAGTTTTTGGTGATGGCCATTCTGTCTGATGTGAGGTGATACCTCATTGTAGTTTTGATTTGCATTTCTCTAATAATTAGTAATGAGCTTCCTTTCACATGCCTCTTGACCATCTGTAAATCTTTGGAGAAATGTCTATTTAGGTCTTTTGCCCATTTTTGATTGGGGTTGTTTGTTTTTTTATATTGAGCCACATGAGCTGCTTCTAAATTTTGGAGACTAATCCTTTGGCAGTCTCATCATTTGCAGATATTTTCTTCTATATATTTTTTAATTTTTGTCTGTGGGTTGTCTTCTCATTTTGTGGTTTCCTTTGCTGTGCAAAAGCTTTTGAGTTTAATTAGGTGCCACATGTTTATTTTCATTTTTATTTCTGTTACTCTCAGAGACAGATCAAAAAGGATAACTGTGGCAATTTATGTCGAAGAGTATTCTGCCTGTGTTTTCCTCTAAGAGTTTAACAGTATCCAGTATTACCTTTGGGCTTTCCTGGTGGCTCAAAGGTTAAAGTGTCTGCCCGCAGACCCGGGTTCAATCCCTGGGTCGGGAAGATCCCCTGGAGAAGGAAATGGCAACCCGCTCCAGTATTCTTGCCTGGAGAATCCCATGGAGGGAGGAGCCTGGTAGGCTACAGTCCACCGGTCACAAAGAGTCGGACACGACTGAGAGACTTCACTTTCAGTCTTACCCTTTAGGTCTTTAATCCATTTTGAGTTAATTTTTGTATATTGTGTTAGAGAATGTTCTAATTTCATTCTTTTACAGGTAGCTGTCCAGTTTTCCCAGCACCGCTTATTAAAGAGACTGTCTTTTCGCCATTGTGTATTCTTGCCTCCTTTGTGGTAGATTAATTGACCATAGGGTTTACTTCTCGACTTTCTGTCCTATTCCTTGATCTTTGAAGGTGCAGTTTAGAACAATGGTGCTTATTTGAAAGCAGATCTTTTCTTTGGACTCCATCAACTATCCTGCAAAAACAAAGAACATAGATGTTGCCTTTACTTACAGTTTTGTTTTGTTTTCTTCCTCCTAGAGATGGCAAATCCTGAGGCTGCTGTAAGTAACTGCAGCTCTCATGAAGAGGAAAATCGCTGCACTTTTAACCAGCATACATCTCCCTCTGAGGAACTTCTATTAGAAGACCAGATGAGACGAAAACTCAAATTTTTTTTCATGAATCCTTGTGAGAAGTTCTGGGCTCGAGGTAGAAAACCCTGGAAACTTGCCATACAAATTCTAAAAATTGCAATGGTGACTATACAGGTAGGCACCTCAGATCATGAGTTTAGCAAAGTCTTCTTTTACTAACAAAGATGACTATGTGTTTTGTTTTGTTTTTAGATTACTTTTAACTATATGCCTCATAACAATAAATTAGGAGATATACAATATTAAACCCCTCTTCCATATTTGTGAAAGAAGACTTTTTTTTTCCCCTAACTTGTTTCTTTTTTTTTTTGCCCCCCCCCACCCCCCGTTTCTTTTCATCTTTCATTAAATTGTGATTTTACTCACATAGTGTAACTAGATTTCAGGAAAAGAAAATTTTAATATTTTGCTTCCAGTCAAGAAATTTAGCTGAAGGTTTCTAAACCAACTTTGGAACCTAGCTATTGCCCAATTAGATAATTCTTTTTTTTCCTAGATAGTTGCCTGAAAATTTCTCTCTCTCCATAATTATTTGGATTCTCACATCCCTGTGATCGTGTGAGCCCTGAAGTGGAAGAATGTGGAGCTGATTAAAAGAAGTAACATAGGTAGTGAAATATGAGACTTCATTTTAGGAGATGTTGAATCTCATTTCCTTGGCTTCTCTTAACATTTTGGGAGGAAATGATGTTTTGTGATTTTTTTATATATATTTATGATTTACTCTTGTGAAGGTATGTTCCTGCTAGTGAGAGTAATTATCTCTTGTTTAAAGCAAAAGAGCAAAAATAAAAGCGCATTTCAATAGGAAAAATAGGTGATTTATTTTTTCTTAACTTGGTGAAAAATGCATATGTAAATAAATGACTGATATGTAAGGAGAATTTTTTTAACTCTGAAATCACGCATCTTAGCTTATTATTGAGGACAAATTCTTCTTGATTGTGAGAAACTGGCAATCATATGAAGTTGGTGAAATTCTTTTATTTATTTATTTTTTAATTGGAGGATAATTGCTTTACAATTTTGTGGTGGTTTCTACCATATAGCAATGTAGATGAACCATAATTATACATATATCCTCTCCCTCTTAAACCTTCCTCCCCTCTCCCACCCCTCTAGGTCATCAAAGCGCCAGACTGAACTCCCTGTGTTGTATACTTCTCACCAGCTATCTGTTTTACACATGATAGTGTATATATGTTGATGTTACTTTCTCCATTCATTGAAGTTGATGAGATTTTTGCCTAAGTTTCTGATGCTAGATGTTGTGTAAAGGAAGCTGACATTTGAGTGATTATCTTGTTCCAAGACATTATTTTTGTTTAATTTCAGCAATACTTCTATTGGATAAATACTGGACTCCTTCAGTTTACAGAATAAGGAGCTGATATTTATAAAGTTTTTTGAATGCCACATGATGAGTAATGACTAGTACGGCCAGTGGCAGAATTAATACTTTAGAGACATGTGCTCTTTCTAATTATCAACATAAAAATGATTGTTTGATTCCCAATATACTTGACAAGTTGGAATTGAAATTCTTAATTTCCAAGTGATAATGTATGTCACAATAGTGAAAGTATTTCTCTATGTTGTTTCTGATAAGTCGGAGGGGAAGCCTGTATCAGTTGAACATAAATATATTCTACTGGTAATGATAAGTACCACTTCTATGTTTACTGTGTTTCAGGCTGAACAGCATCATAGTCAGTTCTTAAATCAGAGGTAGGTGGTGGATCCCCACTATACAGATGAGAACACTTATGTTTAGTAAAGTAAAATAACCTGTCATAGTCAGGAAACTAGAAGAGTAGAACTGAGACTCAAACTCATATTCTATTCTAAGACTTATGTTCTTAATTACTCCTAAATCTTTTAGGGAGCTCCTCTTAACTTTGTTGTGTTTCCTAAGGCAGTCGAGGAAAATTGACTAACAGTTTAAGATGTTAAGCCTGTTAGTATTAAGCATATAAAAGGCATTTAGGTAATTTTTTTTTTTTTAAGTAACTGAGGGTTTTTCCTAATAGACTCTTGAGAGTCCCTTGGACTGCAAGGAGATCCAACCTGTTCATCCTAGAGGAGATCAGTCCTGGGTGTTCATTGGAAGGACTTGATGCTGAAGCTGAAACTCCAATATTTTGGCCACCTCATGCGAAGAGTTGACTCACTGGAAAAGACCCTGATGCCGGGAGGGATTGGGGGTGGGAGGAGAAGGGGACGACAGAGGATGAGATGGCTGGATGGCATCACCGACTCGATGGGCATGAGTTTGAGTAAACTCCGGGAGTTGGTGATGGACAGGGAGGCCTGGCGTGCTGTGATTCATGGGGTTGCAAAGAGTCGGACACGACTGAGCAACTGAACTGAACTGAACTGAGCTGAATGTTTCCTTAATCTACATTAGAGCAATCTAGCAAATATTACATAAAGACTTGGAGCAACAGAGGGTGACTCGATGACAGATTTCCTCTTTTCAGGGAAAAGATGGTGGCATTTCTGTTAAGTTGGAGATTTTGTATCTGCAGCAGCAAAAGAAAGATGTCTGTGATGATAGGTAGCCTAGGAAAAGTTTCCCTTTTCCCACTGCCTGACCCATTCTCTGATTTATAGCAGTTCTCTCTCTGCAGTGCCCCTCCTGTCTGCCCCTAGGTCCTTGAGGTCAGGGACTGTGTCTTCACATTGGATGCTAAGGACCTGGCTCAGTGCTGGCTTGTGGAGGCACTCATATATTTGCATGAATTGGTAAAAGTATCTTTGGAAATTTTCTGGAGGCTTTTTGATCATCATCTTCAACAGATATAAAATCCCTGGACTATCAAGCCATCATCTTCCTAAGATTAAAGAGGACACAGTTTAAAGAGACTCTTTAGAAATGGAAGTCAAGTTAGGTAAAGAGTGATGATGTGAGGGGACAGGGCATACATCACAAGGGTAGGTGAGAGGGGAAAGGATTGGTCTAACTGTCTCTGTTCTTCCCTGATAAGATCCTGCATACTTTGTGTAGCATGATAGTGTAGTTAGAGCTTAGATTTAGTTTGTTAGACTTGGGTTCGAATTTTGACTATACACTTGCTACCGACTGACCTTTTAAAAATTATTTAACTTGAGTCTTTATGCATCTGTGAAGTGGGAGTATTAGGAACTATAATGTGGGATTGGTATGAAGAAAGTATCTGGAATAGTGGATGGAACATAGGTTTTCAGTGTTGTTCCCTTTTCTATGCAAAATATATGTTATCCCCTCATTTTGGGATCTAAGTCAGAGTGTATATTCTAAATTTACAGTGTGTGTGTGTGTGTACGCGCATGCATCAGAGAGAACAATAGAATTTCATGTAAAACTCTGGGGTCAGTCCTACATGACTATTAAGAATATGTTTAAAAGCTGAAAGTGAAAATTGCTCAGTCATGTCCACCTCTTTGCAAGCCCATGGCCTATATAGTCCATGGAATTCTCTAGGCCGGAATACTGGGGTGGATAGCCTTTCCCTTCTCCAGGGGATCTTCCCAACCCAGGGATCAAACTGGGGTCTCCTGCATTGCAGGTGAATTGTTTACCAACTGAGCTATAAAGAAAGCCCTAAGAATATATGTTAATATACTTTAATTTAGAGATGAGTTGAAAGAATATTTTTATTTTTAGTCTTACTGTCACAGTTTTGGTAACTAGTCCTAGAAATATAGTTTGATTATAAGACTTAAACTTAACATATTTCTTAGGTTTTATTGTACACCTGCTTCAAGCCTTCTTGTTGTCCTGAAGAATTCATTTGAAATCTACTTGCCCTTCAAGCTCCTGCAGCATCTGACTTCAGTGTTTCTGCTCACATTTTTCCTGTTTCTCTAATTGAATTATGCTGGTGTCCTCAGTGTCCCCCTCAAAGTGCTAAGTTCAACTGGACCTTCTTAGCCTTCTCCACATGCTCCTCCAATGTCCCCTGCCCGAAGTTATGCACATACTACAGGGTTTCTATTATTCTTTCTTCCCTTGGGGAAACCTTCCAGCTTCCTTAGTCAAAGTTATCTTGCTTCTCTGAGCTAAAGAACTCCTAAAGGGCTTCTCAGAGCTCCTAAAGTTTTTATTGGTGGGGACAGTGTCATAAGTGAGATCGTACATGAAAATAAATGTTGAAAGTATGCAAAGTCAGTTTCTTTAGTTTAAAATTAGAAACCCACCTTATCTTTCAGGACATATTAATTCCCAACTGCCCAATGTTTAATTTCTATAGAATATATTAGGAATTAATTACGTATTGAATCTTGAATAGATGAATTAATCATTTAGTGGAGACCTTTATTTCATTGCTGTTTCACCCTCTTTTTCTTTCTTTTAAGCTGATCTTTTTTGGCTTGAGTAACCAGATGGTGGTAGCTTTCAAGGAGGAGAACACTATAGCATTCAAGCACCTCTTCCTAAAAGGATATATAGATAGAATGGATGACACATATGCAGTGTATACACAAAGAGATGTGTATGATCAGATCGTCTTTGCAGTGAACCAGGTAAGTCAGGCACATGCATTCCTTACTTGGGAGAAAGATTAGACTGGAGAATTGTTAGCAATGTGCAAAATAGAAGCTGACATTCAGGTGTACAAGGGTGAGCATTTTTTAATGAAAATAAATGTCTTGTATGAAGCCATTAATTTTTGTAACTTTGCCAACAAACTTTTACAAAACTATAAGTTGAGAAGAGCTTTTGTTTAGTAACAGAGAGACAGAAACTTTAAAGACTTAATTAAGAGAGTCAGATCTAGGGCTTGGCATAGGAACCTCAAAGATTTAAAATTATTAACCATGACCTTGATTGTAAGTAGTCATTAGGTTTTCAGAGTTTATATTTTCAGGGACCCTGAAGAAACAATGAGATTATTAACCTCGCAGAATGTGTAGAGTAACCAAGACCTGAAATTCATTTAAAAAATAAGAAAGGCCTTTATGTCACATAAGGCAATGGTTCTATTGTAACATTAATTAACTGCCTCAGAAAGGAAGCTTGTTTTTCATACAGGTGGGTCAAATTTCTACTCTGAGTTTTTAATCAATTTGTTTTTGTTACAAACAAACAGTACTTTCTCAAGTCCGAAAATCTCCTATTTTGTAGGAATCTTTGGCAGAGCTTGACATCAGCATTTCCAACCTGAGTTAGTACTGCAGACAACATTTCTGCAGTACTAACTGCAGTATATATAAAAATTATAACTCTTCTTCACAAATTGTTATAGTGTAGTTCAGTTCAGTTCAGTCACTCAGTTGTGTCTGACTCTTTGCAACCCCATGAACCGCCGCACGCCAGGCCTCCCTGTCCATCACCAACTCCCGGAGTCCACCCAAACCCATGTCTATCGAGTCAGTGGTGCCATCCAACTGTCTCATCCTCTGTCGTCCCCTTCTCCTCCTGCCCTCAATCTTTCCTAGCATCAGGGTCTTTTCCAATGAGTGAACTCTTCACATGAGGTGGCCAAAGTACTGGAGTTTCAGCTTCAGCATCAGTCCTTCCAATGAACATCCAGGACTGATCTCCTTTAGGATGGATTGGTTGGATCTCCTTGCAGTCCAAGGGACTCTCAAGAGTCTTCTCAACACCACAGTTCAAAAGCATCAATTCTTCAGCACTCAGTTTTCTTTATAGTCCAACTTTTCACATCCACTGGAAACTTTTCATGACCACTGGAAAAACCATAGCCTTGACCAGACGGACCTTTGTTGGCAAAGTAATGTCTCTGCTTTTTAATATGCTGTCTAGATTAGTCATAACTTTCCTTCCAAGGAGTAAGCGTCTTTTAATTTCATGGCTGCAATCAGCATCTGCAGTGATTTTGGAGCCC